GAGCTCAACGGCTCTGAACGGCTCTGAACGGCTCTAGCCCAAGCTGTGATATAAACAAACGCTATTGGCTATTTTAAAAAGGGGCGGGGCTGCTTGATATGCCCCGCCCTGTCTTCCTGTTTCAGTTACAATGACGTCAACACAGAGTAACGCTGCGTGTTTCTAAGCATTTAAGGGGACCTTTAAAGTTCAACACGAGCAGGTCGATCTTTCGTTTGTTCAACACGGTTTCATATGAGCAGCATGTTGTTTATGATCTGTTCTCACACTGAACTTCTCCGTTAGAAACACATGCAATGTATCCTTCGATTTAGTCTATGTAGTCAGCTCACTAGGTGTGTGCACAGAGCGATTCGACGTTTCTCTCTCATTCCACTCGCGTTCTGCCTTCAGCTTTAGTTTCTCTGTTATACGAAGGCCACAGTAAAACACACCTATTAAAACAAGCGTGCAGAGATGGAGAGACGGGTCGACTCACCCTCTCTAATCGCAGTGAACGGCGTTCCCTCCTCCTCTTGCAGACGAATCACTTTCAACGCAACCAGCTTCCCGTTCACCCTGCAAACACATGTTCATCTGTATCATAGGACTGATCCACAGAATGTGTGCATTGTGTTTACGTTCCTGTAGGTCGAACAGCAACTCTGACACCATGGGTTCGATTCCCGGGAAATGCATGAACTGATAAACTGTATACTTTGAAATCCAATGCAAGTCGCAAGTGTCTGCCAAATGCACAAAAAAATATATAACATTTATTTTAAAAATAAATAATTTAAATACACAAATATAATAATATTGCAGAGTGAAACCGTATATATTCAGGGATCCAAAATATACATAATATTATTTATATATTTAATTGTAATATATATTATATTATATTAATATAATGTTTCACTCTGAAATATTATTTATTTATTTGTGCATTGAAATAATTTTTATACATTTTTATAGATTTTTGTGCATTTGGCAGAAAAGGCAACTTGAATAAATAAATAAAATCTATCTATCTATCTATCTATCCAATTTATTTAATTATTTATATTTATTAATTATATTTAATTTGACAACGCAATAATTTGCTGTAAAGGAATTATTTCATTTGCATTTAGTTTTTAAAATGCAAAAAGATTTATTTAAAAGATTGAATAAAGGGAAACGTCAAACATATGGCCCTGTATGCAGTATGATTTTATCCAGTTGACTTTTATCCAAAGACTATTGTTTGAGAGTAGGAATTGATGATGTCATCAGAAAAGGACTGTAACAAAACTACAGAGAAACCGTTTTGTGTTTTTAAATAAAAGGCACTGATGGTTTGTGTTTGATTTACTGTCGACTTAAAGTCAATGAAATGCAATTTAGAGGCAGTGGAGTGAATCTGAACACGGAGGTCATAATGAACTTACACACAAATAACATCATTACTATGAAAAACACTGACAATAACGCGCAATTCATTTCACGCTGGCTGAAATTTTATTTTCCAGATTTTAATTTATGACGGAGAAACAGGTGTTAAGCTCCCGTCGGAAAGGCTTTCATACGACACGTCATTTCAGGCTCTGGCTTTTATTACAGCAATATGAAAAATAATTTCATTCAGATTTCACATAATAATAATTATCTGCTGCCTCTTTGCTTACAGTTCTGTTACCAAACGAGTCAAATAACCCAGAGAAATACAGCAGGGTTTCAGTAGAGTTTAAGACCTGCACAAATAAAATTAACACAGCATGCAACTACAGATAAAGCCCATGCAATCTCAAAATAAATGAGGTATCAAATTATTTGACTTAATTAAACAGGCTGCATCTCACATTCAAGTTTAACTCAAGACATGCTTATTTAATATTTACATATGTATTGAAATTGATTTACTGTGTAATGTTTTCATATTTCACTACACATGAAGAAGAGGTCCAACGATATTGGATTTTGCTCAAACAATAATGTGTTTAAATAAAAGGAAATTTAAAAGATTATTGTGCTGATCCTAATAAAATCTCTATTGAATGTGTTAAATAATGTTCTTAGTCTTTCTTTCCTGTGATGGGGCGGTTCAGAGAGAAAATACAAGAGTTTATGTTGATTTAAATGCCAGATACTGTTTACTGTGCAACCTAAATACCAATAATAGCCAGGGGGAAAAAATTATATATATACACATTTATGCATAATGAGGGGCTTTTAATCATAAACAAGCCTGAAATTCACAAGGACTCTTATTTTGAAATGTATATGCTTTACTACTTCCAACTGCTCATTCAAAACGATGAGAGAAATATTGGAACCCAATTATTAATAATAAAAAAATAATAATAATAAAAATACAATTTATACATAACGAGGGATGTTTAATCATTAACATGCATTAAATACACCTGGACTCTTATTTTGAAATGACCATGGTTTACAACTTCAGCTGCTCATTCGAAAAGATGAGAGAAATATGGGAACCCAAGTATTAATAATAACAATAATAATTAAAAAAATAGTTTTATTCATAACGAGGGATGTTTAATCATTAACATGCACTAAATACACCAGGACTCTTATTTTGAAATGTCCATGGTTTACTACTTCAGCTGCTCATTCGAAAAGATGAGAGAAATATGGGAACCCAAGTATTAATAATAATAATTTAAAAAATAGTTTTATTTATAATGAGGGATGTTTAATCATTAACATGCACTAAATACACCAGGACTCTTATTTTGAAATGTCCATGGTTTACTACTTCAGCTGCTCATTCGAAAAGATGAGAGAAATATGAGAACCAAAAATATCCAGGAAAAAATGACTTGCAATCATAAACAAGCCTGAAATACACCGGGACTCTTATTTTGAAATGTCTATGCTTTACTATTTCCAGCTGCTCAATCAAAAATTTGAGAAACATAAAATATGCATGCATACATATAATATAAAAACCTTAACGTAAACATTGTCGATTCATCAAAGGTGCATCATAAGCAATCGTTAAATGTGCGGCATTCACAAATAAAGACACACTGGATAAAATCACAGTGCATTAACAGCCATATGAAATCTGTTCGACTTTTCCCCGAATCCTGAGTTTTCGGTTCCAATAATATTTCTGGATTCTGGTTTAACGGTTTAACTACATGGCAATAATCAAAAAGCATGTCTAATCAATTTAATTCATAAAACTTTTAAAATTTAAAAAATAATAATTACATTTAAAATAATGTATTAAAATTTATAGGGCCATATGAAATGACTTTTTTTCTAAATTCTATTTTTTTTCCCAAATGTGGTATTTTCTGGATTCTGTGTTTTATGATTTCATAAATAAATGAATTTGATCATTTGTAATGCCCCGCAGGAAGCCTGTATGAACTCACTTGCTCTTTCCTTTGTAGACGGTGGCGTAGGATCCCTCGCCGAGCTTCTCCAGCTTCTCGTACGAATCTGCCTTTCCAAACTTTGGGCTCGTGGGCTGAGAGAGAGAGAGAGAGAGAGAGAGAGACGCTTTTATTAGAGGATACTGTGTGATGCTGCAGCAGACGTGAGGTCAGATCCAGGATTCATCCAGCAGGAAGTCTCTGAAATCACTGAATCACACATCAAGAGCGTTCCTTTTATAATCACTGAAGTTGTCGTCAGTTCAGTATAATACTATATATATAATACTATTATTCTTATAATACTATGCGTTTGCTAGGGTACTCAGGGTGGTTGCTAGGGTGTTGCTATGCGGTTGCTAGGGTACTCTGGTTGGTTGCTAAGGTGTTGCTATGCAGTTGCTAAGGTACTCGGGGTTGTTGCTAAGAGGTTGCTATGTGGTTGCTAGGGTACTCTGGTTGGTTGCTAAGGTGTTGCTATGCAGTTGCTAAGGTACCTTTGGCGGTTGCTATGGTGTTGCTATGTGGTTGCTAATGTACATGGGGCGGTTGTTCAGGTGTTGCTATGTGGTTGCTAGGGTATTCAGTGTGGTTGCTAGGGTGTTGCTATGCGGTTGCTAAGGTACTCGGGTTGTTGCTAAGAGGTTGCTATGTGGTTGCTAGGGTACTCGGGGTGGTTGCAAAGGTGATGCTATGCGGTTGCTAAGGTACCCGGGGTGGTTGCCAGGGTGTTGCTATGCGGTTGCTATGGTACTTGGAGTGGTTGCTAAGAATAATAGTACATTTAATAAGAGTAGTATATATAAATGTTCCATTAAAAATTCGATTTTGCACTTAGATATTACTGTTTTTAATAAAAGTAAATTTTGTATACTTCCAAACTCAAGTTCAGTGCTTTACTGTCATGCGTATATTACCGAGAAATAAACGTGTAATATATTATTAGTAAATGTAATATTGCAAAACAATAGTAATTTTATGATTTTAATACTCTAATACTTTTACATTTTAACATACATAAATCATATAAGACACTCGTTTTAACTGTAGGAGGAAACTTTCATTTTTGTGACGTTTTCTTACACCTGAAGAACATCAGTGACTCATCGGTGTCTCGTAATTATTCATGAGAATGCGTGTCCTCATCCAATGAGAAGACGCTGCTCTTAATTATTCATGAGCGCATGCGTTGATTTCCTATGACAGACGCTTCAGACTGTGAGATCACACACAGTAAGAGACACATTCATAGATCGAAAGTGGATGATTTCACTTTATAAGAGTATTTGTGTGGCATAAACTGTCATCCATGTATCCATAAACAATCCATCCACACCGTGACTGTAACTGGTCTTTGATATATAATGGCTTATATTAATGTCACAAAATAACAGTCTCAAAAACAGCACACGCACACACACACACATTTATATATATATATATATATATATATACACACACACTAAAATCAAATACATGAAACACGACAAATTTATACATTTATTAACAAGTAAAAGTAAATGAAAAAAATTTAAATAAATTTAAATATGACTAACAAAGTAAAATTAAATAATTTTAAAATTAAAATAAAAAATAAAACTCTTACAAAAATTATTAAAGTAAAAAAGTACAACTAAAATAAATAATAAAAAATAAAACACTAATAAAAACTTTTATTTTTAATTTATATTATGACTATTTGTTTTTAGTATGTATTTTATTTAGATTGTTTATTTAAAAATAATTTATTTTAATTTATATTATGACTTTGTTTTTAGTAAGTATTTTATTTCGATTTTTTGTAAAATAATTTATTTTAATTTATATTATGATTTTATTTGTTTTTAGTAAGTGCTTTATTTAGATTTGTATTTTAAAATTATTTATTTTAATTTATATTGTGACTATTTGTTTTTATTAAGTATTTTATTTAGATTTTTTATTGTAAAATAATTTATATTATGATTTTATTTGTTTTTAGTAAGAGAGTGAGTGTTAAACTGAAATAAATATAGTAATTATACAAAATGCTGTATGCAAAGTGGTGTTTACAAAAATAGCTAATTAATAAAATAATGTAAAATTTAAACAAATATTTTTTAAATAAAAAATATCTAAATAAACTTACTTAAAACGAATAAAAGCATTAAAAAGTAAAATTAAAATTAATTAATTTTAAAATTAAAAAATTAAAAAACACTAAAAACTAATAAAATCATTAAGTAAAATTAAAATAATTTTAAAATAAAAAATCTAAATAAAACATACTAAAAATGAATGAAATCAAAGTGAAATAAAAATAAAATTTAAATTAAAAACTTAATATGAATAAAAATGAATAAAATAATTAAAAATTAAAATGAAGCTTTTTAAAACAAAAAATGAAAAACACTAAAAACGAAAAAATAAATATAAAATTAAAATAAATCAATAAAAATTTTTAAAAAATGTACTAAAGATGAATAAAATCATTAAAAAGTAAAATAAAAAATTTTATAATTTTAAAATAAAAAAATTAAAACACATACTAAAAATAAATATGAACAAAATCATTAAAACAAAAAGTACAACTAAAAAAGTTACATAAAAAGAAAAAAAAAAAACTAAAAACACTTACTAAAAATGAAAAAAAAAACATAAATGTAAAATTTATTTAAAAATAAAAATTCAAAATAAAATATAACTTACTAAAAAATGAATAAAATCATCATGTAAAATTAGAATAAATAAATAAATAAAAACACATCCAAATTTAAAGCTTATTAAAAAAAGATGAGATATTTTAATTGTATACCTGCATGTCATGTGACCGTTAACATCAGAAAACCATGATCGTGAATGTGCTGTTAATATACTGAAATTCTGAGTAAATATTCCATCTGAAAGGGGTTCAGCAGACTATTCTTTTTTGGAATCCCTGATGTATTCGATACACAGCTCACCACGATATGTCTAATGACCATTATAATAAAAACAAACCCAAATAAAATAAGCAGCTAATGAAGCTCTCATCAATATCTACAAGCAAACGATCAGAGTGTCAGTGACTATTTGTTTTTATTAAGTATTTTATTTAGATTTTTTATTGTAAAATAATTTATATTATGATTTTATTTGTTTTTAGTAAGTATTTATTTAGATTTGTATTTTAAAATTATTTATTTTAATTTATATTGTGACTATTTGTTTTTAGTAAGTATTTTATTTAGATTTTTTATTGTAAAATAATTTATTTTAATTTATATTATAATTTTATTTGTTTTTAGTAGGTATTTATTATATAACTTACTAAAAAATGAATAAAATCATCATGTAAAATTAGAATAAATAAATAAATAAAAACACATCCAAATTTAAAGCTTATTAAAAAAAGATGAGATATTTTAATTGTATACCTGCATGTCATGTGACCGTTAACATCAGAAAACCATGATCGTGAATGTGCTGTTAATATACTGAAATTCTGAGTAAATATTCCATCTGAAAGGGGTTCAGCAGACTATTCTTTTTTGGAATCCCTGATGTATTCGATACACAGCTCACCACGATATGTCTAATGACCATTATAATAAAAACAAACCCAAATAAAATAAGCAGCTAATGAAGCTCTCATCAATATCTACAAGCAAACGATCAGAGTGTCAAATTAGGCATGCAGTCATAAACTCTAATTAACGAGGGAGACACTCACGGAGCTGGGGCTGGAGTGGCGGCGGAGTTTGGGAGACTCTTTCCCGGAGGACGAGCTCTTGGCGTTGATGCAGGCGTTGTTCTCCGAGTGCACGCGCTTCACCTGACCAGCCGGCTTCTCGAAGGGGTCGAAGCCACTATGC